GAGAAGATGTCATGACTCTAAGCTAGCTTGTTGCCAGAATGTTAATTTACTTTAAGTAATAAAGACAGAGCATATAATTAATTGGCCTGATGGTCATGTTCTAACATGTTCACATTAAATTTCTACTCCTGCCAATGGGAGTTAGGCACACAAGAAAAAGCAGCCCTTGTGAACAGGGAGAGCCTAAACCTTAAGGGACCCCTTTCCTCATCTAAACCTCTCAGCCAAATGAGGCAGCCACCCTGTCACGTTGAAAGTGTACACAAAACTAACAAAGTTTGAGTTTTAGACTATCGGTTGCAAAACACATACATAAAGCCACATGAATATTAAGAGCAGGGGTGAGCAAAAGGGCCTCGGCGGGTCAGATCTGGCCCAATAAACGGGTTGATCTAGCCCGTGGAGGCCCCGCTGCTCCCCTGCCCTCAGGCCAATTAGGGCCTGGAAGCAGGGGAGCGTGCAAAGCTTCCTCCTGCCCTGCCAGGAGCACGCGGCGCTTTGAAGCATCATGTGCTGCTCATGAGGCGGGAGGAGATGTCACGTTCTTCCCTGCTCCCAAGTTCTGATTAGCCTGGAGGAAGGGGTAGTGCGCGAAACCTCCTCCTGCCCTGCGAGGAGGACAGAAGTGCCGCGTGCTCCTGGCAGCAGGTAGGGGGAGTAGGGCGGGAGGAGACTTCACGCGCTCCCCTGCCCCCAAGCCCTGATTGGCCTGGGGATGGGGGAGCATGCGAAGCCTCTTCCTGCCCTTCCAGGGGCATGGGTGCCTAATGGGAAAGGGGGTGCAAAGGGGCTCCTCCACCCCAAGACCAATCATGGCCCCGCCCCTTCCAGTTTAGGCCCTGCCCCTTCTGGGGAAGCCAGGGCCACTTCAAAAATTTTTGAAGTTTTTGAAGTGGCCCCTGGCCAAAAATTATCGTCCACCCCTGATTAAGAATCACGGATCAGTGAACAACACATATTACAAGATGCACTGTGCTGCTTAATGAACCATCAAATCAGCCGTACAGAGAGGGAGATTCAAACCAAGCCTTCAGCAATCTTACATGTGATGGTGGATCTTTCCATCAGGTCCTAAGGCCTTTCCATCAGCCAGCTATACCAAAACTGGACTTCAGTGCCAGAATAGCTGGTGGAGGGGCTTATCCGGACTATCCCTCAAACAGTTTCTTTTGGTGGAGATCCTACAGCAGCAAATACTGTTGCCTTTGCCCAACGGAACCACTAAGAAGTGGAAGTATATTAACTGTCTTCTGTCAGGAGACTGATTCTGGCCCGGACTTGCAAGACTAGACTAGCACAGGCAGTGCTATTTTTGCCTCCCGGCACTAGCAAGAATCTGGCCTGAAAATGGCTGGAAATTTCCCCAAAATTCTCCTTCCCATTACAAAAAAGAGAAACCTGAGGGAAATATGGTGAATATATTCGATTTTGAAATATACTTTAGAAATAACTGGACACTAGAACCACCAGGAGCTTCAGTACGCACTATAAGTTGGACCTCTGTGGTCTCACACCCTTGGTACCTGACCGGTCCTGAACAAGGGAATTTGCTAGACCATGGGATGTCCCCTGTCACTTGCCTCCCAGGAACCTGCTGGCTCCATTTGTGGCTCCAGCCGGTCCCCACTGCCTTCAGGCAGCTATACTGCCAGCCCTGGCTGGACACCTCAGCCCCAGGATTCCCAGTTGCACTGTTGGATCCTCTTGCCGCAGCACTCCCCATGCTGCCTGAGACCCCTACCGCACAGCTCATAGCTGAACCACAGGGCTCCCTGTTCTGCCTGAGCCCCTGCCACACTCCCAACTGCATCACTGCAGCTCCCCACACTAGAGAAGCCCCTTGATGCGAGGTTCCTTATGCCACCAGAGCTCCCTGCCTCAGGGCTGCCTGTCGCACCATGGGACTCCTTGCGCCGCCTGAACCCCCCCATCCCAGGGCCACCACTAACCTCCCTGCCCCTGGGCTCTCTGGGCCAGGAACATTCGTGGTCCTGCTAGACCATGGATACTGCTGGACCAAAGAGTCTGGGTTTAGGTAGGCACAATCTGTATTAGGAACAATACAGAGTTCAAAATAGAGCTGTATTATGTGACCAACTAGAAGATTGGTTTTACTAGGATTATATTCAATTATTCCATTACATTTTTGAGTTAAGGAATGAATTTAAAAAAATACTCAGGAAGAGATAATCAAGACACTAGGGTTTAGAAAACATGCTTACGATTTAAGTCCATTGCCATAGCGTCCAATCATTCTTGAGGTAGATGTCCGCTTAGAAGACCTTCCAAAATAAATTAGATCAGTAGCTTCCTCTGCAATAAAATTGTACTGTTATTGTTAAAACATGCATCTGGGACACTCATCAGAAAACATCAGACTGAAAACTTTAAAAACCTACACAGGTCTCACTTGGTTTGCTGAGACCTTATGTTGGTTGTAAATAGCTATGGTGCAAGATACAAAACAGACACAGGTTAGTCTGAGTCAACAGAGAGGTAGCCAAACAAATGCTATAATTGGGTGTGACTGCTGACAATGGTCTGATCAAATTTAGCAAATCTTAATACTCCTTCCCTCACTTAACTCCAGAATGACACTAGGCCTTGGAACTGTACATGCCACAATTAAATCATATCTAATATGAGGTATTTTGTAATTACAGCTCCTTTTACTGGAAGAGCCAAGCACTTTAAAAACTAAGAACGAGTTGATCCTCAGCACATAAAGCACTGTGCTCTCCTGATTAAGGTAACTGATACACCAGAAGTTACGTGACTTGACCAAAATGATATAAGATCTCTGGTCAAGTTTGAAATAAAAGCTAGATCATGAGCCACATTCCTACACCACAGACTACTTTGCATTACCAGATACTTTGCATTTGCAGATACTTTCTATACGTTTCCCCCTCGCACACACACAAGCAAACAATCAGTTGACAGATGCAGTAGATACTGAATCACTCTCTCCATTACAGCGAAAGTTGGCATGCCAAATGCCATTCAAAGAATTAACTAACTAATATGGACTTCCAAGCACATCTGACATAGCCATTTTGGGAACAGTTTATTTGAAGCAGATATCAACCTAAGCTGCAAGGACAAGACTCTGCATTGTATACTTGGGAGCAGCATGAAACTGCCATACCAAGGGACAAAGAGCGCCTACTATTGACCAAACTGTTCGGATACTTTAAAGGAAACTGAATTCACTTTCTAAAAAAAGTTGCAGAAGCAACTCTCTAGAAATCAGGTTTAAACTGCTAAGGATTCCACCAATGGCCAACTGGCACAACGTTATTTTATGTGAAAAGATTTCAGCTAACAGTAGTTACGTCATATAATACAATCACATTGAAAATACCCTGTGACTTTTGCAAAAATATGATGGCATAACATACAAAATTACCCCTCTCCGTCAGCATTCCTTAATTCAATGCAAGTCCCATCATAAAGATTCTTTGTTAAATATAGTTTTAGGGAAATTGTCTTTTTTGGGCACCACCCCAAAAAAATCCAATATGAAGGTAAACACCCACTAATCCTCTCCTTATAAGGAAAATGGTGCCACTCAAGAAAAGATGTATAATTAGTTAAACATAAATCATGTACACATTCATCTCTGTGGCTTCTTTTATCATTTCTGTTCCTCCATCTGTGTTATTCACACTTGACAACTGACAGCACCAAGGGAACAACGTCATTTACAAGTTCTCAGCAACAAGTGCTGTTTTTGATTGCTGACTGTTATGTACACTGAAGTGTGTCTTAAATCACGGATTCTCGACCTTTTTCTTTCAGAGGCCAGAATACTATAAAAACTCCAGGGTGCAATCAGGCTCAGTGTTCTGGGCTTCATCTATGGTGTGGAGAAAGAACTTGCCGGGGCTGGAAATATGGTGCTTAATTGAATTACAGTGTCATGTGAGAATGATTTTGATGGTACATTTTCACTATACCCTTTATTCAGAACAACATCCGAGTATTTTACAAAAAACTGGCATAGGAACTCCTGCAATAAACAAGGAATGCATCACTGAACAATGAAATACAGCAGTTTGACAAAACATAGCAATACTTAACAGTTTAGGGCCCAATGGGAATAACACCATGGCAGCTGAAGAGGAAGTTCAGTGAGGTACTTAATTATAGCAGGGTTTTAAATTCGGCTAGGATGTTAAACTCCCTACTTTTATGGGAAAGGTCCTAACGAAAAATGAATGTTTTGCTGTTTGGTTGTGTTTGCTTGTTTGAAATCACAGAATTAACTGGCATTAATGTGGTTGAAACACTGACAATTTTCTGATATGTGGCTGGTGCTATGTTTTAAAGCAGGGCAGTTATATTTCTGTAATATTTCACATTTCAGTTCTCCACAGAAATCTGCAGTCACTTCAGGCACATCTTAAAAAATTCCAGAACTAATTTACTCTGCTAGCAACAACATTTAAACCAGTAAGTAATCTTGTAAATTAAGCATATTCATCTCATTTTAAATAATGGTTCTACATACATAGTACGACTTGATATTTTATTTGCATACTATTCCCTGGCACAACCAGTTATAATAATCTTTATAATTAACTTACTATGGGCCATTCCGCATCCATCATCCAAAAAGCACAACATAAATCCCCCTGGCAGCTTGTTGTTATCCACTGAAAAAAAGAGAAAAGCCTGGTAGTAATATATGTAGAACCTAATTTGTAGGTTAGGGAGATTGACCGAATAACTCTTGTATTCACACTCTCGGCACTACTGTAATAATCTTTGTACAAAATAATCTTGTAAGGTATCATATAAAACTAATAACTAAGTGGTCATTAATATTCTTGTGTTCTGTATGTACGTGCTGCATATTAAAAGATATGCTGAAATTATTACTAATGTGCATTCATGGAATGTTGGGGGGAGTCAGTAAACAGGTCTGCCCCAGACAAAGGAATATGAATTTGATTCTCTCAAGCAAAAACGGTGAAAATCCATTTTTTATGTATTAGGTAAATAAATCTACTAAGGTAACAAGGGGGGGTGGGAGCAGAGAAAGAGCATGATGGTGGTTCACTGGTGTATAAAGACATGGAGGTCTGCATTTCAAGTGATAAGCAATTGAATCAACTGACTATATACAATATGACTATTATAAAATGTATAGAGTGAAATATTTTCTGAAAGCTAATGACACACTAGCGAGTAATATCATGGAATAATGTAGTAACATTATACGGGAAAATATGGATACTTCATGATATTATTAAAGTTTGTGGCCAAAAGGGAGAAACAGTTTCCCTGCCATACAGGAAAGAAGGCAACTATTAACCTATATCCTATGTATATTAAGTATGGTGGGACCAAAACAATGGAAATCCCACTTCATCCATAGAGGGGATGAAGTCCACAGAAGCCATCTTTGGCATGCATCCGTACATAGACCAAGTAACAGAGTGCTTACAAGCTGAGAAAGATGGGTCCTTCAGCCAGTGAAGCAGAAATCTCTTGAAACTGAATACAGGTGAGAAACAATCTTGAAAAAAGTCTGTACCTTGCTAGATTAAGATTTTGTTGTTTTTTATGCATATTTTCACTTTCATCTGCTCATGACCCTCTAACTTTTTTCCTCTTACTTGATATCACTTAACCCATGTCCTAGTGTTGAAAAAATTGTTTTATTTTTTACAATAAGCTAGCTCAGTGCTGTGTTTAAATGGAAGGGTGTATTTACCACAGATAAGTTAATAAACTGTAATATGCTTTTGAGCAACAAATAAACCTTTTGTTCGCTGAAGTGTCCAGGTAAAGGCTGGATATTAGAGAGCACAGGATTTCAGGAAAACTCAGGACTTGTTGTAAGATGAGGTCACCTTGCCGGCTATAAGAAAGGCTGGTGAAAGCCAGAGTGAGACTATTGAGCTGGACATAACGCTGAGGTTAAAGTTACTGAAACAGGGCTGTCTATCACATGACCATTCAGGGTTTGACCTGCACACTTGTAGGCTGGTTGTGAGCATCCCAGATGGGAGCTATGGCAGCAAAGCACAGTAAGGCACAGGGTTTCAGGGCACATGAGGACACTGCCTCACACTGGTTTGGATTGGAGTGCCTGTTAATACCCAAAGCTCACACAAATAATTTTTCAGCAAAGAAGAAAACTGAAAAAATTGGTGCTTTACTGTACTCCTCATTTTCTGTAATTTAACCCAGTGGTTTGTAAGTATTAATATGTTTTATTTTGTGTGTTCCAAGTTCAGCAAAAAAGCAACTTGTCAAGATACAACTTTCCAGCCTGACATAGCTAAAGAAGGAGAACTGTGCAAGTCTTAATGTCTGTTCAATATCTTAGCTGGAGGTCTCAGAGGCATGCAAAGTGAATGATGCAACTTGGAAAACAGGTAGGAAAAAGGGCCAGGGAGCAGCATGAGACATCTCAACATAAGGGAAGCTAGATGGTGGGAATCTGGCTAATATGAAGCACAGTGGGGCAAAAGGATTAGGTCAGCTCTACTCCAGCTTTCAGTAGGATTAGCTAGCCAAACAATACAAATGTCAGAGTGAGTTCAGCTTTATAAAATAGATGTAAAATAGAACAAAATGAGAAAAAGATAGGAAAAACAGTGGATTTTTAACTACCTATGTATCTCCACTGAACAGCCCTGATGAAAATACTAAAATCAGATTTTACATGGAAGATGAAATACTTCTGCATTCATTTGTTTATTGATTCTGCCAGCAATATTTTTCTGCACACAGAAGCACTATGGATTCTGTTCCCCATCTATTGAAAGCAATAGTTAAAACTGTTAAACAAGCCTTCTGAAAGGCAACATCCATTTATTTATGGAATGATCTCCCAAGGGAAATGAAAACCCCTCACCTGATATTTCTGAAGCCAGTTCTCACCTACTAGCATGCAAGCAGACACCTGCAACGGAGGAATCGGATGCAGACCAGTGTCTTCTTGATAGGCCTCCTGCTAAAAACTGGCATCATCCCTTTTTAACAATTTGTTTGCTGCACTTACCAGTAAATATGTCAAGTCTGGTGGCTCCTGCATCTCTGAAAACAAAAGAGAACAAAATTACCTTCCTCTATCCACGAAAGGGAAATGAAAAAGAAAGACTATATGGCTATGTCTAGACTACATTTCCCTGATGACAGAGGAATGTAAATGAGCCCAATCGAAAGTGCAAATGAAGTGAGGATTTGAATTTCCCACGCTTCATTTGCATAGTTGCATCTGAGCACTTTTTTGAAAACAGGGTTTTAAAGTAAAAGCGCAGTCTAGATGGGGTTCTTTTGAAAAAACATTTTTCAAAAGAACCCATACTCCTCATTTTTTCAGGAGTACAGGTTCTTTTGAAAAAGGTTTTTTTTTTTCCCCCAAAAGAACCCTGTCTACACGGCACTTGTACTTTTGAAAGACCCTTTTTCGAAAAAGCGCTTGGACACAAATATGCAAATGAAGCACAGGAAATTCAAATCCACACTTCATTTGCACTTTCGATCGGGCTCATTTACATTCCTCTGTCGACTGAGGAATGTAGTTTAGACGTGCCCTATGTTACTAACAAAGCTGCACTAACTCATCACCAGGCTCATATGCTTGTATGTTTCCCCATTCCCTACCCTTCTTTTATTTTGTCTTTAGACTATAAACCCTTACAATTTTTGGCCTATATGTGTACAGAACCCCCTGGGAACACCAGCACCACACACTGAGTCATTGAAAGGACAGTAAGAAGTCCCCAAGTTGCTGCTGAAGTACCTGAGATGATGAAATATTCCATTGCACTTAAAGCAATATGTACTTCACACTATACTGTGGTAAGTTAGTAAAGGAATACATGTTACTTCTACTCAGTGTGTGTAGACCATTGGTCTTGTCCGAATTGCCAGGCCAAGATCTACCAGTCAGAATCACCTGTCAGAAGCTCCAAGATCTTCAGTAAATCCCAATCTATTGAATGGTAAACACTGGCATAGACTTAAAATTATTAATTTACAGTTGAGAAAATCATATCCATTTGAAACCGTAAATAAAGGTTAGATTCAAAGTGGAGAAATGTCACATCTTCCTTTAGCACCCAATCCTGCATTCTTGGCCTACGCTAATCTTTTTGCCACCAATGAAGTAGTATAAGGAATCCAGAATCATGCCCTTACTTTCCTGCAAAGCTCCAACAGTGGGTGGCCTCACTAACACCTAGAGCAGAGAGCCACGTGAGACTGCCTCGTCACTGACTGTCTCCAAGGGAACAAAGACTCCTGAACGGAAGCCTTATCCAAAAGCTTTGGATTTCACCTTTAATACATTATCAGCAGGACTGGGATAAAATCATTCCACAAGACATGTAATTTAAACTTCAAAGCCATTTGTATCCATTTGTCGCAAGCCACAGAGATGCTGAAGAGCCTGCAGTAGACAAAAATGGCCACAAGCAATGATTCCTGTGTTCCCTTCTCAAGCTTTATAGTTCTCAAGTTCTCAGAGGTCTTTCAAAGTAAAAAAGGCTGAAGCAAGGCCTTAATGCCATATTTGTTTATTACAGCTCTTCAGGAAGCACAATGTTCCTTGGCTTTTATCCAAGCCATTTAGTTTTCATACATATTGGAGAAAGCTGTCATGTCAGCAGCCAAGGTTGATACCAAAAGAGACAGTAAGAGGATTAAGAAGTAGAAAGTTTTAGAATGGAAGCTACTTCAGAAGAAATGAAAGCAAGAGTGCCAGTGAAAT